GGGTCCCCTGCATCGGCAGGCGGACTCCCAAGCACTGCGCCACCAGGGAAGCCCCGGTTAAATATTTTAATATTGGACTTGTTGATTATAATTTGAGAAGTATTTGGAATGGTTTCTTTTTCTAAAATTAAATTACTTTCTCAAAAATTTTCTGAGGCTCTTGATTAATTTTTATATCATAAGTAGAGGTCACTGGTGGAGAAGATTATTTCCCCAGTTTCTCTTCTGCAAGAATTTATTTCCATACAGTTGATACTTGAATTATAAATTATTCTTTCATATTCATGTAAATGAAGCCACCCAAGAATCTTTATAGTAGGTAGTACAGGTTAATACATCACTGAAGGTAACTAAATTGCAATTTTACAGATAGTGTGCAATTGAAACTTTGCTAATTTAGATTGATAGTAGTTGAAATTTCATAAGATTTATCCTCAGATGAACTATTTTTTTTAGGTGGAAATAAATACTTCCTTATGTGTGTGGTAGAATCATAAAATCAGCCTTTATCTGACTTTTTTTTTTTCTGGTTTTAACCTTTTCCTATTGGCAGCCTTTGTAACTACTGTAGAATTTTCGTCATGTTTGTCCTCCTCAGAGATGAGAATGGGTTCCTGTCACTTAATGGATCCGTTCTCAACCCCTGCCTGGCACTCAGGGTTTCCCGTGAGCTTCTTTTGGATCCTGTTTTCTCTGTGTATCTGAGCAGACTCGGACCCTAAGTCTTACTACTCAAATGACAAATGGTCAAATGGTTAGGATTCCTAATTTCAGCAAAGGACAGGGTAGAATAGTTTGTACCTTGTTTATTTACTGTAGAGTATCTGAACATTCAGAATAGTAACCCCATTAATTGGTTTGAATTTGCTCTCATTTCTTTTTCCAGGAAGCATTGCAGGTATAAAAGGCAGTTCTGGCCAGTCTGTGTACAGCGCCAGTAAAGGCGGGCTAGTTGCGTTCTCACGCGCTCTTGCTAAAGAAGTAGCAAGAAGGAAAGTTAGAGTGAATGTAGTTGCACCAGGTAAGCGGGAACTTCTTTTTTCTTTTCATTTATATGCATCTGTGGCTTTTTACAGTAACAGTAAAGACTGTTTTTGTGTCTGTAAGTACGTCATCATCATCAGGCACTTCTCAGAGGTGCTGGGACAGGAGCAGGGGACCTGCACTGTTACTCAGTCCCGGAGCAGCGCCGCCCGGGAGGGCGTGACCTCGGTCTGATGGGATTCAGGGGGCCGGGTTGCTGCATCTGTACTAAAACGACAAGAGAAACTTCTCATTTAAAGTCAGTTGTATTTAAGTTAAGAACTCTGAAGAGCTGAATGTAAGAATTTCAAGTAAGTGGGCTGGGGAGTGCTGGTAGCATACACCCTGCAGGTGAACGGGTCCAAGTTGTGTCCCCTTGGAGAACTGTTTCCATTTTAGTTGTCTTTCTCCTCTTCTTGGGTTGTTTCATTGATTTGCTGCTCACTGGGATACAGTATTTGTTAATTTAGACGTCGTCAGTTTGTCAAAGCAGAACTTTCCAAGTAATGCATCTATTACCTAATGTATTCCATACGTCTAGATTAAAGAAATAACACATCTTTATATCTAAAATATCTGAATAGTTCTATAATACAATGTGCTTTTAATAACAGTGTGAACCAGAGGAGATAATCCAACAAGGCTATGTAGATGATGTCATTTGCACATTTCATGCAGTAATCCCCTACAATAACCGATGTACTGATGACCTCAGAGACACTGCTGGTTCGGTTCCAGGCACTGCAGTAGAGTGCGTGTCACAATAAAGCGAGTCAACAAAGCTTTTGGTTTCCCATTGCACATATAAGCTATGTTTACACTATGCTGTAGTCTATTAAGTGTGCAGTAACACTATATCTATAAAAACAGTGTTCATACCTTAATTGAAAAATACTTTATTGCTAAAAAAATGCTAACCATCATCTGAGCCTTCAGTGGTCAAGTTGTAGTGCTGACATCAAAGATCACTGATTACAGATACCACAGCAAATACAGTAATAATGAAAAAGTTTGAAATATTTTGAGAATGACCAAAATGTGACAGACATGAAGTGAGCAAATGCTATTGGAAAAATGGCGCCAATAGACTTGCTTGATCCAGGGTTGCCCAAAACCTTCCACTTGTAAAAAACGCAGTGTCTGCAAAGCGCAATAAAACGAGGTCTGCCTGTACTGCAGAAAGCCAGTGTTTGTACAGAGAAAGAATGATCAGAGGTCACATGTTTGTTTCCAAAATGGAGAAGACGCCTTTCACTGGGTGTCACTGTGCCCCAGAGAGCTGCCCCGTATTCACGTTAGAATTTCAACACAAAGAAAAATTTGAAGGAGAAAATATATTTTACGCAGGCTCAGGAGGAAGAAACATCTTTTGAAAAGTCACTCTGGGAAGTAGTAGGTTGTAACAGTGATTTTAGCTGTGGTTTTGCCTCTTCAGTGAGTGAAGGGGGCGCTCTGAGGCCTGCTGTGGGATGGTGCGGGGGGCAGTGGTGGCACGTGGTAACAGAAGTGAGGGCACGCACGCCGGCCGTCGCAGGTTCTAGCCCGTGTGCGGGAGGCATTCCTCAGAGAACTCAGGATGCTAAAATCCGACCTGTTTGGGAGTGGCCCACAATGAACGTGGTTAGAGAGGTGGGAATTTAAGGAATCTTCAGGAGTAAAAGTCCTGGGGCCGGGAGGTGGGGGTGGGGGCTCGCAGTAGAGCTGGCCGCCTGTGGAGAATCCATCAGGAACACTGGTGTTCTTGTGAAGCCTGTAGGAAGACCAAGCCAGCAGGGTGCAGGTCACCTGGAAGACAAAGCAAATGTGCTGTGGGCTCGGTACCACGGCAGTCAGAGCCTCCTGGAGAAGGTGAGGGGGGCGTTTCATAAAGTGCACCTGTTCCTTTCACTGGGCTGACTTGAGGCACTCCACACGAGTTGAAAATATTGATGGATTAAATAGGACGCAAAGCCAGTTTAACCTGGTTGGTCTGTTACAGGTAATTGGAAAATATTGAAACAGAATGATGGGAATTATAGTTTAGGTTGCTAAAGGCAACAAGTTGAAATTCTCCAACTTGTGCTAAGACTTTTAAAATAAATTCGAGTGTACAACTTAGAGCTGGTTTGTTGCTTTTCAAATTAGTTGCCCCAGTTTGTAATAATAATAATAAACTTGGTTTATTCCATTTGGTAGCCATCTGCACCCATGAACACAGAGCATTCTACAAATGACTGAAGTCCCATTTTAAACTTGGATTTCCACTGTGTGCCGAGTGACCTTCAGAGCAGAAGGGAGAGGGGGTGGAGTGACTGTGGACACACTCCTTCAAGGCAGAGCTGCAGAACCAGCCTCCGCCTGGACCAGAACAGGCACAGGATTAGGAGGAAAAACTTCTGCTGAAGCGCAATTCAAAAAGGTTAAATTGCCCCAAAGCTCCAGTTTTAGACACACGTCTCCCTTTCTGATGTCCACACGTTTTAAGGCTCCCGGGAGTAACTGAAACAGCCAGCGAGCACGCAGGCGCCAGAAGACAGCGCTGTGGGTGCACGGAGTCCACAGGATGGTGGGGGGCAGGTGCGAGCGCTTCAGAGTATGTACGTGAAAACGTATCAGGTCCTCCCAAACGTGAAAGGTAGAGTCTCCGGGACTGTCCTGTCACCGTCCTGTCGGAATAGGCCAGAACCATTGAGAGTGTGAGTACTAAGTACGGTGCTTCTAAGATGAGTCAGAAACGTACCAGGTAGCGTCCCAACGTGTATAAACCAGTTAAGCACATACAAAGTTAGTACTGGTCCAGTTAGAAATACAAAATGAGAATTATGGAAGCTGCCTCAAATATCTGGGGTTCCACAAATTTACAAGCAGACCTGTGTAACAAAGTAGGCTCTGGTTTTAAGAAAACATTGCGGTTCAGTATTCCAAGCACAGTCTCTGGTCCCAACGGTAACCTCAGAAATCACGTCTCTGGAGAGTAGAACCATTTATATGTTTGTGCAAATTTGCAGATAACAAAATAAACAAAAAAGTAGAAAAGACCTGTCCAAGGCTGACATTTTGTCTGTTTTTTTTTCCAAAAGAGTTGACAAGTCCACGAATTGAGCAGGTTGATATCGGGCTGTTGGTTCTCGTGTGAGTGTGTGGCAGTGGAGCCGGTCCCAAGCTGCTCCCTGGAGGTGTAGACAGAGCTGGGGTGGCTCACAGAGCATGGGGGACACGAGAGCGTGGCAGCATGAGAAAGTGTGCGCTTCGCCCAGCCCAGATGCGTGCCAGAGCGCATGTGCGTGTGCGGGCACGTGCGCACACACACGATTACATATTTGTCAGACACACATTTGTGTGTTTATCTAAAACTTATTAAAATAACTATTGATTATGGCTTTTGCTTTATGGAGAAGGAAGCCGTTAATTAGCCTGTGAATTGATACGCATAGATAAGAGTAGTTTAGAACCTGAATACTTCTAAAATGATTAGAAATAGTTCTAAAATGATTGCAAAAAAAATCAAGTAATGAACTGGTGCCTAGAAAAAAGTTTCTTGTACCTTATATTTTATATAAGATCTTTATTTTAAAATTTTGCACTGATTATGGGATAATGTTAGGTGGACAGGATCTTAGTGATGATTTATTCTAGTCATCTTAACTGTTCAGAAGACTGGGCCCCAAGAGACAGACTGAGTTGCCCAAGGTTCCACAGCTAGTTTTTGGTGGAACTGTTACAAAAGCTTTCTCTTTTGATTGTCAGCTAATAAGGCTTGAAAATTATGGCCCCTTAGATTTGTTTTACATCATTACAAGATTTAGGTCTTTTTGTTCTTTTGCTATTATGTTCTGTCTAAAATACCTGCAATCTTCCAATTTTATAACTTTTACCTTTACATTATTTGCCTTTTGACAAATTACTAGTTGATAAAAATCACCTGAATTAGTTAAGAGACTAATAAAAAGGTGCTAAAACTCAAATCTACATCATCACTCATTAGCTGGTGTGATAGAAGGTTTGGTTAATGGATAGTTGAGGACAGTGAGTGTTCTCCTGTGTCTCTGCCAGTCGCCGTGGGACCTTTGACCCAGCTTGCTGTGGGCACTGGGGCCGGCCCGCTGGGGGCTCGTAAGGAGGAGGCTGAAGTCCACCCTGGCCGCTCTGCTCCGTGGGCCCTAGAGCTGGTGTTGCGTTTGGCACCAGTGCTGAATCAGCAGGGACCAGGGAATTGTTGGAATGTCCTGGCAGGCCTCTTGCTCTGCAGCGTTCCATCGTCCCAATTCATTGTTTAGTCAGAGACCAGCTGAGTTCAAGCATTCCAAATCCATGAACACTTGATAAATGACTTGATTTAGATGCATTCATTTTTGGGGCAAAAAAAAAGAAAAAAAGGAAATCTCAAAGCTGCATTGTGGTCTTGGCACTGCTTTCTGTGTGTGTGTGCTTTGTGCAGCCCGATTGATTTTCGTGTTAGCCGAGTTTAACCATGTATAGAGTAGATGATTTATGGTTTGGGGCAGCATGTATGTGCTTCTCTCTTTTTTAGGGATTGCAGTAGTGTGGGTGATGAATAGTTAACTCTAGGTCACGATGATCTCGAAGCTGGATGGTTTCAGGGTAGTGCAAGTGTTCCTAATCCTGATTCTAATCATTCATTCAGCAGACTTCCTGAGTGTCTCCTGTATGTGAGCGCTGGCAACGCTCCAAAATTACAGACACGAATAAGCTATTTCTGCCACAGGAAAGAAGTACAGTGGGAAAGACAGGTGTATAGACAGATTATTACAGTGCCATGTGATGAGTGCCAAGCAGGCACCCCTGTGACGCTATGGCAACGCTGGAGAAGGAGTGCTTGATTTTGTCAGGGTTAATTAGTTGTCAAGGCAACAGGCTAAATAGTGCAAATCCAGTTTGTATATAAAGGGAAATTTTATGAGTGTTAGGGATGTGTGTTTGTATAGCCTTTCCTAAAGATCTTACTTTCTAGTGCAGTTTACACTGAAGGAAAGAAAAAACCTGTTGGTAAAAAATGTG